AGTGTACACACTAAAACCTTCGAGATCAATTAAATGAGTCTTAGGCGAGAACAATGCAGGTTATGTAGTGTCAATGAGTAGTAACCATAGCATTATCCCTGAATATGCCCAAACATGATAATTTTAGTGAAAGCAGTATCAATGTAAATTTGTCGTAGGAAAATTTGGCGAATTAAACATTAAGTGTTATGTCGTTTGGGATTTCAAAGTTTGTGGCATAACATTTTCTTGAATCTAATTCTTAACTAATAGGGAACAAATATGACTATTAAATCTATGCCAGTAAAAATAACTGGTATTACAATAGTCAGAATGTATTTTCTAGTACAATGAATTGTTTGCACCACTGTCAGGTCATAAGAGACTTCATTACTGCCATGAGATGATCAATAACTATTCATTTATACGTATGCAAATCATATAAGGTGTAATTTTGATCAGTCTCGAGGGGTTCTTGCATAGCTTCAAGTTATATTTTCAATTAATTGCCCTTAACTTGTGATTATTAGTACTTAAGGTTAAATGACCTCGTTTAAAGACCTCAATATTTTAAAGTGACTATCGTGTCATTGTATATCATCTTATGGCAGACACCGACTCGTCAGCTTCGGAATTCCAACGAACTAAATATCCCAATGTGTAGAACCACGAGATATCGCAAATCTGTGAGCCCTAACATTGTACGGCTGATAAACTCAGATTTGAAATAAGCTTGACAGAATAATAATCCATTCGTTTCATTTGATTTTATCAATTCATATTTCAAAATAATATATATACCTGTATTTTAAAAATTTGAATCCAACAATGCAATTCTGTTAATCACATCTAGTTTGTTGCCAAATTTTTCTTCTTCTTTAACTGTTATTTTTTGGTAAATTCAATTATTCAATAATAATTATATATCTTAATAAGGTTTTTGAAGCAAATACATGTGTATTAACCATGTTTTGCCTAATTATGTAAAACCTTTTAATATTTGAATATCTATAATAAATATACCATTGCCATTGCGGTTTGTGCTCTGGAATTCATTGTTTCATTTTGTAGTCGGTTGAGGTTGGTCTCAAAATTTATGCTGCATTTACATTGTACGGTATTATATTTGTATTTGTTAAGTCTCATTATAGTTAATTAACACTTTATCCGATTATTTTTCTAGTTCTCCCTTTCAGCCTATTTATCTGTCCTACTCTTTATCTGTCCCTTTTATTGTGTAGTCTCCTCGCCAGCTTCTCTTTCTAGTTTTTCTAGGCCCCCCTCTCTCTCTATCTCTCTCCTCTCTTTTATTGTCTTACCAGTCCTTCTAATCTTCTATTACATTTGTCTAATTGTTTTCTGTTACGCGATCGTTCTCCTTCAATTATCCTCTAGTCATCCATTTCAATCTCTTCTCTTGTTTCTCTTCTTTTCTCCGATCATATCCTTGATTATTTATTGTGAATTGTCATTTATATTTATACGTTATGCTTTCGTATGCATCTTTTGTAAATTCAATTAGTTTCAGCCTCTGGCTGCTATTTGAATGTTTTTTTTAAATCCATAAACAATATCAAATCAAATCAAATCAAATGTCAAGGCCTTCTTGCCCACCTATTATTATTGTTACGTCGTTCACCATTACAACCATTTCAATCAAATGTTAGTTTTATTTATGGGAACCTATAATCGACAAGCTGAGCTTTTTAATAGGTTCTTCACATTTCATCCTGTATAACCTTCTATTCAATCAATTTAATTTCGACGTCTTTTCAAAGAATTAATTATAAAATGGGATAATTTTAGTATCTTTCATATTGTGTTCTAGTTTTGTAAATTATGTGAATTCTTTTTTGTGAAATGTGAAACAAATAAACTTGAACTTTAATACTTGAAATTTTACTTTTCACATAATCTTTGCATTATTTTGTTTCAAGCTCTTTTTTAAACACATCACTTTGATATTTGTATAAGCTTTACTCTGTCCAGCAACTTTGTATCCCTGTTTACAGATTATTTAACAATAAATCAGAAACGTGATCATTTATAGCTACATGCAATTTATTGGGGATCTCATTTGCAGTACTTGAACATTTAAAAAAGAGTGGATGAAGAAAGCATTGCCACTAATCAATCATGATAGTAAGTTTGTTAGCTTTTACAATTTTCATGTAAGCACGAAAACATTATATGAGAATACAGTAGGAAAACGTCACAATGTAGGGCAATTATGTTTTATTTTACACATGTTTCATTCTCCTTCCCCTCATGATTTGTAAAATAAAGAATAAATTATGTAATTATCAGGAGAAATTTCACAAGAACGAAAATGGAGCCATGTCCGATACATTACACTCTCACAACCTTTTTTGCTTTCTTTTGTATGAACGGTAAAAAGTTCTGCAACAACTTTTCTTTATGCGTCACATTTACATGTACACTACAACTTCTCCTCATTGAATTCCCATAGAACATTGTACGGTTATGTTTCTACTTGCATTTTTATTACATATTTTTTTCTTTTTTTTCTGCGTTTTCTGCGTTTTCAAAAAAGAACATGATCATATACATAAAGTAACAATTATTTCTTCATATTACATATAATAATGTTTTAAGTACATTAAATAAGATGCATACAAACACAAATATTTTTTCAATGAAAAAAAGATAAATTAATTATATATTACATTGATATAATTAGAGCTAAGGTCAAATCAAGTAATCTTTATTATAACATAGTTGAGTGTTGCAGAATTTATTATTAAATGCCACTCTTGCTTTTTTAATATTGTAAATGAACTTGTACAATAAAAAAAGATATCGTTAATAGTACTGTCGCTTAAATTGTTATTTCGTACAAAATGAAATGTACAGTGATGATGTTAAATAAATACAGCATCACAGCACTATAAGATGAAATGTTTGTTGTAATAACTTTGTTGTTTAATATTTACATTCAAAGAAGGGTAGAAAGAAAGTGCGAAAAAGGGGGAGAGAGAGAGAGAGAGAGGGGGAGGGAGAGAGAGAGAGAGGGAGGGATAGAGAGAGAGAGAGGGGAGGGATAGAGAGAGAGAGAGAGGGAGAGAGAGAGGGAGAGAGAGAGAGGGAGGGAGAGAGAGAGAGAAAGAAAGGGGGCGTCGTTTTGCCTCCATTAACAAATAATGTACTGGTATTGCTTCCTCTGTCCTCATGCCTCCTCCCCCAACGTCTGAAGTACAACATACAGTTTAAAGTTTAAATATATTACGATATCCTTCTGTTTCATCCGAGTATTTCATAAATAATAAGTATTAGAACACCACATGTATATCCTGGTTCGTAGAATAAGATGACAATGCATATCGCTATAAGGATCACTTATGTCATCTTTGAAGGATTTTTCTTTTTACATGATATGATATGCAAAGCGACTCCGTGCATGTACCCAGCTCAAATTGCACTTTTTCAACGAATGAGAAATAATCGCTTCAATCATTACATTCATGTAAAATGATATCACACCCTTGAGATCTGTACGATCTAGCACTACTGAAGTTTGGAACATTTCCAATATTTTCTTTCAAACTGTTTTTAGAATGATTGATGTACTGTAACGATTGGTAAGACATTGACCTACACTTGCTAAACTCAACCCAGGTGAAGTAAATGGGTACCTGTTAGGACCATTCCTTGAATGCACTGTGCGCCGATATCGGTAGCCGGAGCTAAAGCTAGGGTAATAATTTCCGAAGCTCTTTGGAAGCACATAGAGACTAAGTATTATGCGCTATACAAGAACGGACTATTATTATTATTATTATTAACGACTGTGTTATGATAACATTGCCAATAGCAAGTAATAGTCTGTGGAAGATATATCATGGTTCGAATGATTTAATATAGGATTTCCCGGCCAAATTCGCGAGTTTGTCATTTAAATTCATTTGTCTTGCGTTCAAATTCGACGGTTTTAGTGATGTCGGGTATATCCTGGGTTTATATTCCCTTTTCTAGATTTCAAATCTATGAAGTTTTTGTTAGAATCTATGTATTTTTCATTCCAATTAATGAACAAATTGCTTCTTTCGCTATTTGGTCATTCGATTTAGCGCAACACGATTTTCTGACATCGCGACGGTGTACTTTAGCAGTCTAATTCATTTGTAGCATTCAAATTAGCACTTTGTGCACTAAAATGAATGGTCAATATACATTTCTCGTTTTTTAAACACTTGTTATAGCTCATTCTTTTTCTTTCAAGATCGTTTTTTCATGTGCATTTTATCCTATTTTATTTTCTTGCATTTATACTCTTTATATACTTTTAGATTTATCAGATATTCATCAGCCTTTGAGTTTGATTGTTAAAAAAAAAGACTTACTGTACATCTATGGACTTGATGGTCTCAATATTTGTGTAAATTTTCATGTAAGGAAGTAGTTTGTCTTGTGTTTCATCATAAATTTATCACAATTTCATTATGGAGGAAGGGTACAATATTGTGACTGGGGTAGGTGTTTTCGTGTCCCCACTTTTCCGGGGTATATGAACATGTCCGTTCAGAGATGCCATATCCCTTAATTTCGCCCCTTCTTTACCTATTGTCTGACTACAAACATATGCTTTGTCCTCAAAATTAATAAATTGAATAACAGAATAGACCCCAATAGCAAATCATGTATTTAATTGCATTTTTTTAAAGCTATAAACGTGTGTTGCAATTCTTCCCCCTAACATTCCTAACTTGAATAAACATAATTCGAATACGAATGACAGGTGTTAATTTGAATGATAAAAATGACGCCTCGACAAGTGACGATTAATTTGAATGCTAGTTGAGCAGTTTTTAAATTGAATGACAGATCTATGAAATCCTTCGACCAAAATCCTAAATTAAATACAAAATCGGGAAAATTGAATGATATTTGGCATGGCAAAGCTGATCTGCGCTAACTTAAATGCAAAGTAAATGCATTCGAATGACAAACTCGCGAATTTGGCCGGGAAATCCTATATATACAACGGAAATTACTGAACTGAATTAAATTTCATCTACGCTTTTGTAAAGTTCATCCGCTGTCAAGTTAGTTGGCACTGAATGGAATTCGGTGTTTTGATACATCTCACCGTCCCCCTCGCCAACCACCGGATCGCTCCCGTCTGGGATTTCATAAACGGCGTCATCTCCCTGATCAACCACCGGACCGACCTTATGAGCTCGAGGAGTTGTCGGGAATGAAGCACCGTAAAGCTCGTTGTCAACCATAATCTCTTCATCTTCATTACCTTCAAAAGCGTCCTCATCAGTTTCGGGAGCACCGCTGCCGGGATGACCAAGTTTTGGACGTCCAGGACTTTGATCAGTAGAATTACGTTCCAACGATGACGGCCTCACAGTTTGTTCATCACTTGTTCCATATAAAACTCTATCCTCGAAACCAAGATGCGGAGAGGGTTGCTCAGCAACGGAATTCTCAAATCCGCCATTTTGATCGATGTCTGCTTCAACGGTTGGAAAATGTGGTTCGTGAGGAGTGTGGCCTGTTGGCTTGGCCGCACAACACCTGTACACCTGTACGAAACACCTGTACGAAAATCATTAACGAAATGTAAACTGTGAACATGTAAATGTTACTTATATCATCATTCAGAAGCGCGGCCGTTCTATAGGAATAAATAATTTTAGATGGTAGATTAACAACTGTACCATGCTTGATCTAACTCTTACACTGTGCGATACATGTTTTATAAGTATTAATTATTATAAACTACATTGCTTCTCGAAACTTTAAAATAAGTAAATTCATGAAATCATACAGTTACACATACTTATATTTTTATTTTGTATTAGTTACTCTTGGTTACGGGAGGGGGGGGGGGGGGGGTAATGGTCCAGTAAAATGTTTGCTAGTATATCAAAAGAGCAGTAAATGATTCGTTAATTCCATGACAACTGGCACAAGAAGTGGAGTTCTATATGCTCAAAATTTTTGATATAGCGCATAGACTGCCGAAGCATCGAATCTTTACATTTATTTTTATTAAAAGAGTTTGTGTTTGGTTAAAAGCATTAGAGCCTATGTCGAAACAGCGTACAGTTGTTACAAATAAGATCACTCTGGATAACGGGTCAATGTATAACATTTTAGCAAAGGAAAACAAATGGCGTTAATTAGACTTAATAATTCAAAGAAGAAAAAAAAAAAATAAAAAAAAAATAAAAGGTATATACCTTATGAGAAAGATGGCGATTATCGGTATGCTGAAAATGATTTCCACCACAAATTCACCTGCACTAACTTTCAAGAGAAAAAAGGACGTTACAAATAAGTTTGAGTTGTAGTAGGTTACATATGACAATAAAATGTGAGCTTTCTCATGCTATCATATTATATTTGTGAAGAATGTGGTTTTAGAAAGGTCCTCTTCACATTCAATATTATTTAAAATATGATGAGATATAGCTGAAGGCTATGGACCAAACCTTCATGCTTTATATTGTGTTTAATAATAAACAACATTTTGTCGGAATAAAAAAATACTAATAATCATTAACAATCTTTGATTAATTTAGGCAGTTCAACAATCTTCTTTGTACAGTCAATGAGACCTGCTTCAGTAACCACTTGTATTAATTTAGACGAAAGACTTCATGCATGGTTTTATGTCAACGAAACGGAGTAAAGTCTGTTGTCAATTCTGCATGTTGCTATGGAGGCTCCCAGTGAAAACGAATTCGTTTGATAAAATTATGGAAATGCAAGCACTACTTTAAAAAAACAGAACTAAGTCATTCGTTGCTAATTTTACCTGATTGAGGTGTCATAAAAGAGCAGAAACTCAACTTTCTAGAAATATGATTTTCTCCTTGAAATTCAAATACCGTCCGCCAAATGACTTTTTGGTTTCCTCTCTTCAAATTCATTTTAATCACTCATGCATGAAATATGCATCATATGAGTTAGATCAAATGATGGAGGAGGATCCAGGCTTTCCAAATATGTGTCATTTATCAATTATAAATGTGACTAAGTTATGATAAAACATCGATAATTCTCGGTTTTATTTTTTCTGGGACGCACTGTATAGCGAAATCTATGTCTACAATTCTAACATATTTTGTTTCAATTGAACACATTATTTCCTATTTAAATCTGTAACAAAGCAGTCTATATATCAAGACTGTATTTCTGATTGTCTCCCTTGTGTTAAGTGCTCTTTATATACAGGATCACTAAATATAACATGAAGGATTACATTTTTGTAATAACCATTCACATTGGTCTTTTTAAAACATCGAATTATTAATAAATCTCCAATACATGGATTGACATTCGTGCTATAATTTTACCATTGTCAGGAAGAACTACCATAAACAAGTTTGTTCTTTTTACTCTGGCGACCAGAGGATGAACTCAATTGCTCATAATGGATTGCTAAATGTTTAAATGAATGTATATATGTTTTTCTTTAAATTTATATTATTCATCTGTTTGTTAAAATAACCGCATTTGACATGTACACTGTCGCTCATAACGTTGGAATATTATTTTTTTACCCCAATTTATGGAATTATTTTGACAATGATTTTTTCCTAATAGATCTAGATAAAAGACTACTAAAGCATGTTATGCTAATGTGCTTATCAACTAGGGGACCTACGCCCTTAAGTCATAAATGACAGTAATGAGGATTAATGCTCCACAAAAGGGCACTAATATAGCACATCGACACGGTTTTTGATACTGGGGCCTCACAGTTACGAGGCCATTGCTTTGCCACTGAACCATGACTGTACACAGCGGGGGCTAGGGTAGGGGGCAGTTCCTCACACACACACAAAAAAAGGAAATGCAATAATTTGTCAATAATTCATTGCATCTTATCCCGGTCCCCAACATAACAAATCCTCTGTACGGCCATGCATTATGGCTCAAGGCATGGGCACACAAAATATTTTTTTTTATGTTGGGGACCGGGGGGAAATTCAACGAGTTATTGAAAATTTATTGCATTTTCTTTTTTTCTTTTTGTGGGAACTGCACCCTATCCTAGCCCCCGCTGCGTACAGTCATGGTTCAGTGGCAAAGCAACGGCCTCGTAACTGTGAGGCCCCAGGATCAAAACCGTGTCGATGTTCTATTAGTGCCCTTTTGTGGGGCATTAATCCTCATTACTGTCATTTATGACTTAAGGGCGTAGGTCCCCTAGTTGATAAGCATATTAGCATACACATGCTATAGCAGTCACGCAAAATAAACACTGGCAAATTATTATTCAATAAAATCTGAGAATGAATACTATTATCTAGATCTATTAGGAATAAATCATTGTCAAAATAATTCCATAAATTGGGGTAAAAAAAAAAAATCCAACGTTATGAGCGACACTGTACTATTGCCGATTAGATATAAATGATACACATACTGAAAATGATAAATCTCTGATAATCGCGAGGTTACTCACCTCCATTAGTTGTTGAATTCCCCATTGGAATTTCTATGATGGAAAAGAAAATGACATCGGAATTACGTAATCAAAAGTGAGAAATCTAAGAAACTAGGATCATTTAATAATGCATATGTATAGTAAAACTAGAAACATGAGCAAAATTAACATTTTAATTAAAGACGTTACTCCTCATTACCCAGTCTCTCGGAAAGGCCTAAGGGCCGCCGGTCATCTGGTTACTTATTTTGAAATTATACAAGGTTTGTCTGCTGTCAGGTAAAACAAACCATCTACCTGCAGGGGTCTTGTGCAAAGCAGTTGTATGTTCTGAAGAGTCTACCCTGTAAAAAGAACATGAAATAGATAGATGAATAAATAAACAAATATCAATTCACCTAAACATGTAAAGTTAGGTGTACTCCAGTTGCCTGTATGCTGACAGAAGCTGATTGGTTCATTATCAGGAATATAACCATATTGACAGATGTATACAGCTATATCTTGATACGCTGATCCTAGTATCAGGGTTGATGCATTGGTGACCTCTGGTGGGCTTCCCTCACATACGGCAGCTATTCAGGAAAATAGAAAAACTAGATGAATATCATGTCATTATTCATATTTCAATGAAGGGGGTACTATATTGTTTCATTTTACATCCAAAAATGGTGTTAGTACACATTTTTATTTCATTTTGTTTATTTATTACTAAATATATAGCTCTTATATGAGAATACCTTATTGCAATCTTTCATGAATGTCGTTTGTCATTATTCGAACTCTCTCCCTCTCTCCGTCTCTCTCTTTCTTTTTCTTTCTCCCTTTCTCTAGCTTTTCTCTCTCCTTATCCTTTACCTCCTCCCCTCTCCCACATTTTCTCTATTTCTGTCTCGTATTTCTTTTTCTCAATTTTCTGACACTGTGATAATTACTCATTAATAATTGTCACCGATATGTATAGGTCATTGATATTCACCAATGTTAAACAGACAGTATAATTAAATTCCATTATGGCATTCGTATTAATGTATCATTTGGCATTTTTGTATATGTGCATTTTACTTTTACAATGTTTCATTAAGCTGAATCAACTCAATTCTCGTTCATTTGCTTACATTTATTTGTCATAAATTGAAATCTCTTTTCTTTTTCTCTTTATCCTTTCCCTCTCCCTCTCTTCCACTTTTCACTCTTTCTTTCTTCTTTCTTCTCATTTCACTGACAAACTGATTATCACCATTTTATAATTTACAATCACTTTTTCCCCCTTTTTTTTCTTCATATTTTAAGTTATTACTGAATGTTTAAATGAACTGTTTATATTGCATTTTTATATGATACAATGTGAGCAATGTACTTTAACTTATTACTGAATTTTTAAATCTACTGTTTTTAATGCATTTTTATATGATACATTGTGAGCCAATTATTGTTAGTCTTTGGACTTTTTATATGGTATATTTGTAATAAAACCGAAATTGAATTGTTTTAAATTGAAAACATGACGTGAAAGAAACCGCAATACAAACAGTCCAAATTTTCAGGTTAAAAATAGGGCAAAAATAACAAATACAAGTGCATAGTCCGGTCATAAAACCCTGAGAGACCCTTCTTTTTCTTCTGCATTCATCATTAGGCCCTACACTTAAAAGAAAACAGAGTCCCTAAAGTATCACTTTGTTTTCATAACCACCCCACGGTGGCACCCCCACTCTTTTATCCAGACATTTAAATTATCTGGTTCCAACGTTAGTTAACTTGTAATATTCAGATAGACCCTGCCCAGTCAGTCAAGTAAATCTTGATTTCGAAGCAATGCTTGGCAGGTTTGGGATTTTTGCCTCTTCGCAAATATATATATGTATGTGTATATATGTTAATATATACATATAAAGGGTGTTAAATGTATTACACACTGCTGCAAAATACCTTATGGGAAGGTTGTGTTTTTGAGAATATGAATTGCTTTATTTTAATTGGCCATTGTATCTTGCAGAGCTCAATTGGTTTCCGGTGGGGCCCCGATGATAACAGGCATCCCGTCCTGTCGTTTGTTTATAACCGGTACCCAGGGGCGTCTACAAAGGGGCGGGGGGGGGGGGGGGGGTGCGACACCCCCACCTGTCAGGATATTGTCGGTTAAATTGCGGTGCCGCCGGGAAAAAAAGAGAAAAGGGGGAGGGAAAAAAAGAGAGGGAAAGGGAAAGAAAAGAAAAAGAGAAAAGGAAAATAAAAGAAAGAAAGAAAAAGAAAGAAAGAAAGAAAGAAAAAGAAAGGAAAGAAAAGAGAAGAAAGAAAGAAAGAAAAAAAAAGAAAAAGAGAAAGGAGAGGAAAGAAAGGAGTGGAAAGAAAGGAAAGGAAAAAAAAAGAGAAGAAACAAGAGAAAAGGGAACAAAATAAACGGGGGATGAAAGAGAGGAGAGAGGGGAGGTATAGGAGCCTGAGATATGAGAAATGGGAGTAAAAGAGAGAGGGGGTTGTTAGGTGGAGTCGTCTCGGAGAGGGAGCAAGAAAGGCACGGGTAAATATATTGCTGTGTCGGGTCAGCTGTGTAGGTATTCTTGCTCTATCCTCGTGTATACTATATCAATGTAGAAGTTTGAAGTCGGTGAGATGTATATTGTCGGTCGGCCGACAAGTTTTTTCCCTACGAACTGTGACCTTTTATCCGCTGTGACGACTTCGAGAGTGACTACAACTAAAATACTTGTATTTTCTCGAAGTTTTACTTTCCTATATTATCAGCTAAAGAAATCAGAGGTTTAACATTTCCGGGGAAACTAAATTCAAACAAAGATTAAGAGTCAACAACTGTACGACGAATCGTCTTCCTTTCTCTATATTTTGATAAAACGCCAAAAATTCCGCGCTTGGCGCGGGTGGGGAAAACCTCATCTAGAAGAGTCGCGAACGGTACAACGAATCGTCTGCTTTCTTTAATAATTTAAGGAAACGTCAAGGCTGCCGTGCTTCGCGCGAGAGGGGGAAACTGAATTCAGATAAATAGGGCTTATTAAGAGTCTAAAACGGTACAACAAATCGTCTGCTTTCTCTAACAATTTAGGGAAACGTCAAATCTTCCGCGCTTCGCTCGAGAGGAAGGAACTGGATTAAGATAACTAGGGCTTTAAGAGTCGAAAACGTTGCAATGAAGCGTCTTTAAAAAAAAAAAAATTAATGAAACGTCAAGACTTCCGCGCTTTTCGCGGGAGGGGGAAACCGAATCCAGACAATTAGGGTTTATTAAGAGTCGAAAACGGTACAGCGAATTATCTTTTTTCTCTAATAATTTAATGAAACGTCAAGATTTCCGCGCTTTGCGCGGGAGGGGGGAACCGAATCCAGAAAAGGATTAAGAGTCGATCACGGTTTAACGAATCTTCTAATTTCTCTAATAATTTAATGAAATGTCAAAGCTTCCAAACTGAATTCAAACAAGGATTAAGAGTCCAGCACGGTTCAACGAATCGTCTACTTTCTGTAATAATTTAATGAAACGCCAAAACTTCCGCGCTTCGCGCGGTTCGGGTAGAACTGAATTCAGATAAGGATTAAGAGTCGAGAACAGTAATCCCAATCGTCTGCTTTTCCTCTTAATTTGATGAAACGCCAAAGCTTTCGTGCGGGGGGGGGGGGGGGGGGGGGACTTTATTCAGACAAGGATTAACAGTCGAGAACTGTACAATAAATCGTCTTCTTTTCCTATAATAGGGTGATCACACTGCCTGTGCAAACAGTCTGCCCCGCGAACAAACACACACAACAGCAGTCAGTTGGTAAAAATAGCATTTTTTTAGTAAATGTATTAAAAAAAAACACGAAACAATATTTTTAAATTGTTATTTTACATATATTTCAAGCATACCTTCAACTACAATTCTGTATAGGTTCATTGTTATAGGCATGTGGGAAATATGTCAATTATTTAATTAGAATATTGTCTTTTCAGCCATGTGTGACATGGCCCGCTGATCGCCCATTGACTCGCGCTGCTCATTCTGCGTGGTGAAAATGAACCTCAATGTATAAAACTTCCCTACAAAAATGCAATATCCTCATGTGTTTCACTCATTAAATCAATTTGTTATTTACACTCAAGGTAGCCTCAACTATACTGGGGTCACCAAAAACTTTGCTACTCTAAAATTCAGTCCCTGTAGAATGTTATGGCCTGTTGAATGGTTTCTCGGAAAATCATCATAAATCCTCAAATCTGACATTTTTTAAATAAGCAAATATACTGTGATGTAGCTGGAAGTCTACAAATTCTTATCATATGATCGGTTGTTCTGAATAATTTGTGAAACATATGAGGAAATAGCTGTGACGTTGATCCAAGTAATTTCCATCGCCATATTTTATTGGTATTGCAAAATATTTAGAATTTAAGGTTAATATTTGGTGTAAATATGATCTATGAATATATGATTTAAAAAATGCCCCAAAAATGAATAGTTTGACTTTCATAATTTGTATAATGAGTGCGTGAATATATAATTAACTGAAATGACTAATTTGCATATTTGATGAATATTCATGATTTTGTTTTAATTTCAAATGAAATATATTTTCATACCTGTCTGATATACATAGGTTTCACTAATGTATCATGTTTGGTTTTGATTGATTATGCGCATATTAATTAGGCGGACTTAGTTATTTTCACAACTTTTTTATGCAGATTCGCAAAAATTGCAAAAATTACTCATTTTGTTGGCTCCTGTTCTCAAAACGGTAATAGATATATGAATTTTCTTTTTTGTATTTTTTACCACAAAGATGATATTTTAGTATCTCATAATTTAATTTATTATTTGTGTCCAAGAAAGTGATGAATTAAGTTGTCAACTTTGTCGAATTATGCCATTTTTGCCAATCTGACCATTTCTGGCAGGTTTCCGGTAATTTTGCGATATCAACAAAAATGGTATAAAATCACAACGCATTGACCGATTTCAATTCTGTTTTTTGAAGCTTTCATAAAGCTTGATCATTCGCGCGGAGGCCTATCACCCACACCCCCTAATGAACGCGCTTTGCGCGCTCTTTAAGTGATTCGCTTGCTCACTACCGCCCCTCACTAAAATAAGATCCTAGCTCCGCGCCTGCTTTAAAATATATAGCTATGATGCTGAATAAGTTCACGAAATAATTCGTATATAGATAGTCCGTAGGAAAAATAATTAGCCTTCGACCCGGGTATATTGGGTTAAATTTGTAAATATTGGGACATTTAATTTTGTCGGTAATTGGGGGCTAGTTTTGTCGGTAATCGTTGGCCTCTACACCCCCCCCACTGAAAAAGGTCTAGCGACGCCCCTGCCTGTACCCACCTGTGAATTAGGAATCTGTTTGCCTGTCAAATGCAGGGACCTGTTTGCCTTCTTTGTATGCAGAGGGGTGGTAGACGTATATCCTCTACTCACAGTTCCCAATGGGATGGTAAACTCTGTTCGCCTGCTTAATGCAGGGAACAGTGTCTCGCCTTTTTACGGGCTGTGGGGGGGGGGGGGGGGGGGGGATGGGGTGGGGGTTGTCCACAAGTCTCGTCTGTTGGCGGCCTCGATGCAGA